GATTTACCGTCCTTGAATTATGCCCAGTCTGTCAATTACAGTCTCCCATATTCACAGCCATATTTGGCTAGATCTTGTGCAAATGTTATTTTCTAATTTATGGTAGGATGTGGTCTGTGTGGCGGGTATATAAACCCAGTATATTTGATGAAATACATGTTTCATATCGCAGAGACTGAGATTGGTGTTCTGGACTCAACGACCGAGGTTAGGCAGAAAGGAGAACTAATAAGGACTCTAGATTGCTCGTACGGGTTTTATGCATCATTGAGCCGGTGAATAATTCACTGTTCTCTAATTGGTGGTATCATTACATTATATATATTGATAGGGGACACAAGTTATAACAATGCCATACTTAATAGTTTCAACTCATTTCAGTTCAATGTTCTGTTTAATTTACTTGTTCCTTCAGATATACACTATTCTATGAATTTTCTTTGAACATTGATAAGGAATAAGATATTATTTTTATAATCCGAGCTACCGTTGATAATTAATCGGTATTTTTTTCAGTAGTATAATAACAGTAATTTTTCAAAGTACATTTATTCATTTAGACACATAAACATTAGTACAAGGAGGCACCAAATAGATATACGTCATATAAATCATTCGATTTGTGTAATGGTTAGGATATTGCTCGGGTGCTAAAACCAAATCAGGTGATCTTCTGAATTTCGTAAAATTCCCGCCCCCCGCCCTTGCCGCGAGAAGGCAGTGAATAGGACTTTCCTGGCGCAATAATTGTATGCACGTGGCCATGTGAGAACATTTCGAAATGGAGTGCTAACTTTCCACACTATCAGCCGTACTACGGTATTTGTCTCTTTTGATCGGATGAATTGTCTCAAATAATTTAGCTTTAAGTTAAATATGTTTATTTGAAGATGTAAAAATAAGTGTTTAGTAGCCTGATATCTGACTCCAATTAGATTGTATGTATGATTGTTATGGAAGTATGCATGTCACCAATCGTCGTATATAATTATCGACTGAATTCACATTAGTGAATAACGGAATTAAATAAACCCAATACAAGAATGAAGTTTCAATGTGTATATTTCATACAATCGATGATCTGAACAGACAATCAGGGAAACGGAGCGAAGGAGGCAAAGAGAATAGAATAAAGAGAGATGACGAGCAGTAGACAAGGCGTTTGAGCCAATTTCATTTAATCAATACTTATAGTCACATAAAAATAAGCTACAGGCATGTGATGAGTAGGATACAAAGGGTACACACATATACGCTCATATAAAAAGTCAGGGTTGATAAGTGAATAATTAACAAGGTCAAAATGTGATAAATTGGGCTGTTTAGAATAAACAGATATATGGGTTTAACATAGTAACCGACACTACAAGTGTATTTTAAGGTCATAAAATTCTTAACCAACGTATACCATAGCATTGTGTTCATGTTATAAGGACAATAAAAAGTTTAATTACAAATGTTGCCTCTTATAGATAGATAGTTAATTAAGGGACAAATTAATTCTCTATTAATTTTAACACTTAGTACAAACATTGGTACAAAGAGGCAACAAATAGATATGCACCATATAAATCATTCGATTTGTGTGAGGGCTGGGATACTGACCGGGTGCCTAAACCGAAGCAAGTGGTTTTCTTATGGGGTCACACTACGAGCCTTTCACCTAAAGGTCTGATTCACAAGGCAGTGGAACAACGTCAGGGGATGCAGTTCCATGGTAGACGGTGACCAATAATTGGTTCATACGTCATTTGTTCCTTCAGGATACTGGAGCCCATGTGCACATTGGTTTGTAATGAGGGTTTTCGAACTACCCTATGTGAACTCTCCGTGTCCACCAACCCGGTCGAATTGCTGGACATTCACTTTCCGTCCTTTCAATTTCGTAAACAACAGTAATGTCGCGAAAAGGCAGTGAGTAGGAATTCCCTGGCAATGGTTGTATGCACGTGGCCACTTGAAAGCATTTGGAGAGGGAGAGTTAACTCTCCCCACTCTCGGTCGTACCAGGGCATTTGTGGGCTTAACTGATAAAAAACTTGAATGCTTTTATCAAGATCAGCCCAACAGAATAATAATATAAATGATATTAGAGTGTTTAGAGCAAAGTAATGTGTAGTTAAACACAGAACAAACGTAAGACAACCAGATTGAATTACAAGCTCCTACACAAAAACAAAATTGATATATTTGAGCAAGTTCCAAAAACCATTCGATTAAGTAAAAGCAGTCCTTCAAATAATCTAATCTCTAGACATCTCTTAGACATAAGTCGATACCCATAAATGTATTGAGGTAATTAGGAAACAGTGAAACCTCACTCTGCTGAAGTCATTGATATGAGACATCAGAAACTCGATTTAGGTTTAAAAAGTGATATTACTTAGGCTGTGTTGATAACATAAACATTTCTTCGTTACATCATAGGAGTACATTCACATGCTTTTTACTTGTATCTTCCCATTGTTATTTAGGACTGGAATTGATCAGTCTCTTATCGGCATATGTGCGGACCGCCTCTATATTGCCTGAAGTCACAAGCATTCTAATCAAAGATAGATAGTTGCTAGCAGTGGAATCCAGTTTGACGCGCGTTTCGTCCTATTTAGGACTCTTCAGCTGGATGTACCTGCACCCAAGTTGATGGTCACTTCGGAACTCGAAGCCCGTACTGTTCGCTTCAAATGCCATCGCATTATCTACTTAGCTACTGAGTCCTGATAACCACTTGCTTGTGCAATGGGGTGAAGTTTCTAAATTCACTTGGTGTTGTTTAACTTGTATCTTCCCACTATTATTTAGAACTGCAATTGATGAGACTGTTGTTGGCATGTGCGGATGGCCTCGATATTGTCTGAAGTTACAGGCTTTATGGGCGAAGATGGATAGTGGCTAGTAGTGAAATGCAAGACGCGCTTTTCTTCCTACTTGAGACGTGTCAGCTGGATGTACCTGTATCCCACATTTCATGTTCACTCTGGGACTCGAACCCAGTACTGTTCACTTCAAACGCCATCGTGTTATCCACTTACTTACTGAGTTCTGATAACCACTTGCTTGTGCAATGGTGAAGTTTTTAAATTCATTTGGTGTTGTTTAACTTATATCTTCTCATTGTTGTTTTAGGACTACAAGTGATCATAGGATTATGTTTAACTCTCTTTCAGTCTATTAGAGCATTGCAGTTTTTGACTCTTTTCTAGATTGATAATTTTATTTTAATTAACGGACCCTTAATCACTTCATTTTTAATAATTGTCATTGAGTAACCGACTTGTTTCTAAGTATTTGATCTTTTATTACTATAAATATTGTAGAATGTTCTCTTACATAAGACATATATTTGTATGTTATTTAGTCTATTAAATTTATTGACATCCTTACTATACTATACTACTGATGTGTCTATAATTAGTAACTTCTAACTACACTCTTTCATGTAAATAATTTCAATTCATGATGTGTTTATCATTTTTTAATGTTACATTGTTGTAAGTAGTTGATGAGAAGCGAATGAAATAACATGAATTCATGTTATTTCGCTCGAATCTTTGTTCTTGTTTTATTCATAATATGCTTCAGTGTGAAACTTCACTGCTGCTACTCTCGAAATCTCTTTTTTACCTTCAATCAAAACTTTAGACTTGTGGAAGAATCGAATTTGAGTAAACTAATTGTTACTTACAGTCAATCAGCTACAACGTAGGACTAGGCACATACATGCATCGGTCCAAGTTGCCATACCTCATTAGCACAGAAATATGAACACCAAATTCATACAAGTAGTTAATTCAGTGGTGGTAATATATAAAAGAAAGATTACGTATAAGGATATAGTATAGGAAGAAAGACGTGAAGCAATTTTAATCTCATAGTTTAAGGGAAGACAAAGGGTGTATACACCTACGCCACTGTGATCGATTCTGAGCCATGTCACCAAGAGTCTCCAACCATTGGTCACGATAGTCACGCGGACCCCAACCAAGTAGTCTTCATCTACCAAGTTAGTGACTTCAAGCACTGATACCACATTTTGGTTTGGCCGCTCCCAACTTTAAGGTCGACCTTTCCTAACCCCACCCCTCCTTGTGGGAAGGCAGTATCGCTGTTATGCTGGTTGTCTGAAGGAAACACTTTACTGCCGTCACACCTCTGTACAGTTAGCGGTACTACTTCACCCCCAGACCTTAAGTTTGCTGCTTTTAGTCTTACAGCTCTTCAATAGACCTGTCTGGCATGGTAGGACCTTGAGGAACGATTGTTCTAGTCAGTATAGCTCAATTGCTTCATCATGATAGACAAGTCCGACCACCACGTCAAGGTAGCAACAACAAGTAAATAAGCATAAATTTGATGACATATCTAGTTAAAACCTTACATCAGATGAACACGAGTAATTTGTTAATGGTCAAAAGTTTATACACTATAATCTAATGCAAACTCTGTTAAAAGAAATAAAAATGAATAATAACAATCATGTTTGTACACTTTCTGAACCAACTAAACAAACTTGATTCGGAAACATAGGCCTCTACACCCTTCTAGAAACAGATAAGACATAGAAACAGATAAGACAAACGAAAGTTGAGAATCAAGCTGAAATGCCAGTCTATTTTATTTTACAGGCAACAACAATAACAACAACAAATACATGATAATTGACTTCACTGTTAGTAAATTATGATAAACAATCAATAATCACAGTAAACAAAGTAACAAAATAAATAAATCAATAAAGTTACTCCATAGGCGGGGGGGAGGAGGAAGAAAGCAACTTTATCATGTGGATTAAAAGACAATAATTAGTGTGACAGCATTGGTAAAACAAGAATGAAGCAAAAAAAACAAATGATGACTTTTCTCTTATAAACAAAAAGTAATCTACATTGTTGATAGGAGTATTTTGTTGTGTTTTGTTTTCAGGTCATTTGATAGGAAATATAGAATAACATTAAAAACAAATCAATATGGGATCCAAAAAAAGAAAGATTTCATTATAATCAATTATGTAAATCAAAACGTTTACGCATACCATTGATCATATCATCGGTTAATTCAACATCAGTCATAAGAGCAGCCATATCTTTTAATGAATCTTGATAACTATCACGTCGTTGATTGTGTTGATCTTTAGTATTGGTTATAGTTTTAGATGTTGTATCTATAGAAATAAGAAGAGTAATTAGTGAGGAGGGGAAAAAAAGCGATAATTGAAGGTAACAATGTTGTATGATAGATAATAACATGTTTCTATAATTCGTTTTTATGAAATAAACAAAGAATAAGCTATCTATGTATATGATCAAAATGCCTATCAGCGAATTATTGAAACATGAGGAATAGAAATAAATTCCTAGACAGATTTGAATTAAAAGTAGAGATGGATGGTGGCTAGCAGTGGGATTCAGGACTCGTGTTCCGTTCTATTTGAGACTTTTCAGATGCATATACCCGCATCCTAGAGTTAATGTTCAATCTAGAATTCGAACCCAGTAACGTTTGTTTCAAACATGTTATCCATTTAGCCATTGAGTTCAGATACTAATAGCTTGTGCAACGGGGTGAAGTTTAACCTCACTTTGTATTGTTTGTTTGAATCTTCCCATTGACTTATATGGTCAATAGCGATTACCTCCTTATTTACGCCTGTTACCCGTCGTGGAGGAGCAAAGGCTACCCACTAGCATTCTCCATCCAACTATGTTCTGGACAATCCTTTTCAGTTGTTCCCAGTTGCTATTCATCCTTTTCATGTCTGCTTTCAATTCTCAGCGCAGTGTGTACTTTGGACTTCCTCTTTTCCGTTTCCCTTCAGGACATCAAGTTAGCACTTACTTTGTGATGCAGCCACCTTATAATTTCCAAACAGGACGAAACGCGAGTCCTGAATTTCACTGCTAACCACCATCCATCTCTGCTTATAATGCTTGTGATTTAAGGCAATATCGAGGCGAACCGCACAGAATGCACATATACCGGTAAGATACTGATCAATTGCAGTAAATTTAGAAATTTACTAGGAAATTTTTTTCAAACCAATTCTCTTTTGTGGTCCGAATTAAATTAAATTGCATTAGGATGAGAGAGCCGAATATACTGAAAATGATTTTGATAATCAATCAATAAGACTAAAACTTTATAAACAGCACACGTTCACTTTGGCCACACGAGCAGTATAGTAATACCAAGTACTTCATCATCTATGAATATGGTTTATGAGTAAATATAAGAGTATGAAAATGAAGTTGAGACAGATATAAACAACATAGAAACTGATATAAATATGTATCGGTCAAGATTCAGTCAGCCAGCAACAACGTAAAACTTCGTACGTATGTACGTACATCAGTTCAAGTTGCCATACCACATTAGCACAGAGATACAATTGTCGATTGAAATCCCATAGTGGTTGAGGTAGTAAAAGTATAAACAGTTATCGGAAAGATTAGGGTTTCAAGATGTTATTCAAGGAGTATAATCCAGTGAAATAAATTTAGAAAGAGACAAAAACGAGACATGAAGAATTCAGAAGATTAGAATTTAGGAGAACACAAAGAGTGAATGTACCTGCGCCATTGCAAACGATTTTGAGCCATGTCATTCAATGTCTCTAACCATCGGTTACTATCGTCTCGCGGATCTCAGCCAGATAGTTTACACCTAACAACACGACTCAGTTCACTTGTCAGTAAATTCATGGATTTGTACCATGTTTTGGTCTGGCCGCCCCTATCTTTCTTCCAACCTACTCCTACACCATAAAACGTCGCATGTCGAGGCAGTCGGTGGTTGGGCAGACGTAGCATGTGTCTCAGCCATCTTAACTTATGAAGTTTCACTAATTCATCAATTGATTTGCCATCCTTACCTAGTACCCGCTCAAGATTAAGATAATTTATAAACGCAGAGAAAAAAGCAAGTGGTAATCAAAGAAAAAGCACATGATAACGAAGAACCGTTATATTGCACGTCACCATTTCGAAATGAACTATTCAAATACCTAAGACCGTTTATATAGAAAATAATCTTTAAGAAGACACGAGCTTCTATACGTGGCCGCGCGTATACAGCCTTTGCCAGGGAAGTCTTACTCATTGCCTTCTCGTGGCGGGGGTGTTGTTTACGAAAATGAGAGGACGAAAAGCGAATGTCCGGCGCTTTAACCGGATCACAAACCAATGGTACACGTGGGCTGGTTCCAGTATCCTGAAGGAACAAATGTAGTATGAACCAATTTTCGGTCACCGGCTACCATGGGAATGCATCTCCTTACGATGCTCCACTGCCTTGTAGATCAGACCTTCAGATCAAAGGCTCCGAGTGTGCCCCCCCCCTAAGAAAACCACCTCCTTCGGTTTGGGCACCCGGGCAGTATCACAGCCCACACAAAAAAAGTGTGGCGCATATATATTGGCGCTTTCTTGTACCAATATTCATGTGTTCAAATAAATAAATAAATGAGTTGAAGTGAGAAAAAGCATGAATATTCTTTCTAATTGGGGTAAAAAGCATGAACAACATGGAGATAAAAGTGTTGGAAATTAACGTAAAACTAAATCTATTTATAGTAGTATAAACATGGTTCTTATAATTCGTGACCACTAGTATGAAAGGTGAGTAGTTCATAATTCTCATTTTCATCACCGGTAATTACCATTATTTGTAACAGCTGTGACACTCTTAAAGCTTTTAAAGGGGAGATAGTTAGTTCTTTTAGACAACCATCCTCGACCATTTGACCTGAAGGTTTAATTCACAAGGTTGTGAAGCAACACTAAAAGATGCAATCATATGGTAAACGATGATTGGAATAGCTTTGTACGGATGTGCATCATTATTTTCTAACTACGGTTTTTTAACTGCCTTACGTAAATCTTCTGTGTCCATTAGTCTAGCTTAAAAAACAGATGTCCACTTAGTCCAAGTCAATTTTGTATAAACATCCAGGGCATATTGAGGCAGGAAGAAAGACTTCCACGGAACAAAATGCAGCCGTATGAAAGCATTTCCCTACTTCCAACTCATGTCAATCAAATCCCTCAGGAATAAATCAGGACTACTCATAGGACAGTTCAGCACACTTAACTATTTAAAGAATGAGTTGTTACAACAGTGTTAAATGTATTTGCTGATCCGGATCTTAATCATATAAAAATCGACATTTTTGCCTATTGAATTACACAATGCTATATATATCTAAACTCTCTAAACAGAATTTCTCCCAGTCTATCGTCATAAGCATAACATATTGCATCACGTAACAACCTTACATGATATGTTTAACAAACAATTTATCCGATTGAAACTGTCCTCTTTCGGTATGCATGTTAATTTTAGGTTGTAAAAATGTGTTTTTTTAGTTGGTCAAATCATTTCACTTCGAAGTGCTACAGCACTCACCAAACTTCCGACATGTATAGGGTTTCTGAATAGTTTTATTTACCGAGCATAAGTTTATATGCGCGATGCTCCCAAATGCCCTGGTACGGCCGAGAGTGAGGAGAATTAGCTCTCTCTTCAAATGCTCTCACATGGCCACGCGTATATATCCTCTTCCAGGGAAGTCCTACTCACTGCCTCTTCGTGACGGGGTGTTGTTTACCAAATTGAGAGGATGAAAAGCGAATATCCGGTACTTCAACTGGGTTGGTGGACACGGAGATCCCACCTAGAGGAGTTGAAAAACGTTTATTCCAAACCAATGGTGTACATGGGCTCCAGTACCCTGAGAGAACAAATGGCGTATGAACCAATCGTTGGTCACCGGCCACCATAGGACTGCATATCCTTACGATGCTTCACTGCCTTGTAGATCAGACCTTCAGGTCAAAGGCTCCGAGTGTGCCCCCCCTAAGAAAACCACCTCCTTCGGTTTGGGCACCCGGGCAGTATCACAGCCCTCACACATATCAAATGAGGTTTGTGTGGCGCATATGTATTTGTTGCCTCCTTGTACCAATATCTATGTGTTAAAATAAATAAACAAATAAATAGATGTGCGCAGTATTAAGCTACACTTTGGTCTCATTCGAGAGAAATTAGTATTGATCGGAGAAACATAACCTACCGGATTTTTTTGAATCCTTCCTAGTGATTGTAATAACTTTCACTGATTCACTATGAGGAGAAATGGATTCAGGAGGAGCGGATGGTGCAAACGATTCATCCGAATAATTAATGTATGATTTAGGTCGCATGGCTTCGATGGATGGGGGAACATTTAGTCTCGGCGATGTAACATCAAAGGTTCTATCTGTAGATGAGTTGGGTTGTGAACGACCGGGAGATACTGAGGACACTAAAGGTGGATTTTCTACCGCTTGACCATAAGCGAAGCCAATAACTCCGGGGTTTTGAATAGGAGGTGGACAAACTTCAGGGATTTGAGGATTTTGTGAATCGAAGCAGAATCCAATTTGCGGTTGTTCCCACCGTGAAGTAGTAGTAGCATTTTGACCAAATCCCCATCCATATCCTATGGGACCGTTGGGATAATTAGGATTCATTGAGTTATTCAATAAGAATTTATGCTTTAATTTGGAAAAGAATAATTATCATAAGCATATGATCGATCAAACAAGTATGACATAATATTTTGTGCTTTGGAGGAAAATATATTTATTAAATTTGAAGCGTTCGCACGTATTTTGGATCTACGGAGATATGTATATTTCAGGCTATCAACCGATAGAGTGGAGAGCACTCAACAAACAACTAACAAGAATGTAATAAATAAATAAATAAATAAATAAATAAAGTCTACTTTTTGTACTGAATACAAAAGCGTCTAATGATGAATAGATTTTCACCAAACAGTTTCATCCCATCATAACATGCAACATTTTCGTGAGGACTTTATAAACAATACTATGGAGTTAGCACAATGACGTTATGCTAAATAACGGTTTGCACTTAATTATAATATAGTTGTATTACTATTTTAAAGAGAGTAAGAACAAAGATTGGTGCAGAATAATAAATGGATTCATTTTATTTCGTTAGGTTCTCATCAGCTGCTTACAACCTAAAATATTTGAAATTCAACGTTATTATAGATATTGACATACTTATACAACAGAGGGCGATGAAGGATGAATATATGTAACATAATGTGGCAAAGATTTCGTTAGAGTTAATGAGGTCATGAAATTTTGTTTCGAATATATAGAGTTTGGGAGGGAAGGTTCCAGAAAATTGAAATAGTGATTAGAAATCATGGAATTAAAACACATTAGACGATTATGTAATGAAGTAACTGAAAATAGATTAATGTTAATAAAGAGAGATATGAATTGAAATTGGTCAGTTATGAATGATGTAATTATAAAATTTAGAAAGAGTTGAAATGACGTAATAAAAAAATAAATAAAATAAAAGGGGGTGGGGTGAATGTTACCAGGGCAAAGAAAGATTTATTACTGTTTCTTTTTGTATTCAAAGATCTGGTTTTAAACGTTTGATTGCCATCGCTTCCACGAATTTCAAAAGGTTTGAATTTGATTGTTTGTTGATCACCTTGAAGGACTTCAGTATATGTTGAGTTTATGAAGATTCCCAGTTACAGAGGTTTAAAAGCAAGAAAGTTTAGCTAGATGTTAATTGAGACATGTGATTATTTTTAATTATTACAAATCAAAATCACTAACTCATACTTGGGATATTAAAGCTTTTCATAGAAAGTGTTTAAATTCATAGTGGTTATTTAGCTGACAGATTGAATTATAGCTATAATCCCACAACTAATACCATTTCAAACGTTTGAAATTTCATCAAATTTTAAACATAGTATGCTTGGGGTTTCTCACAACCAGGAGGAGGAGCTGGTCTCGTTCCCCGACAAACTTTTTCTGTTTTCCTTCCTTTCCTTTTTTAGAAACCATTAATCTTTCACTTCTACTCTTTCCCTAACAGCAACGACTATTGAAGATTACCGATTCCCTGAAATCACGACCTTAACTGTGTTTGAAGTAATATTATAGCTTTCTAAGGAGGATGATTAACTTTATTAACGAGGACTTAAATTTCTTGTAGCATGAATATATAGTGCTTCCTAAATTCTTTAAGACCTAAGTGTGGTCAGTAAGTTGATTTCAGCCAGCCAGTATAAAGTTCGGGAGTGGTAAAAACACCTCTAAACTCAATGCTAGTCGAGAATAATTCACGAGGTGACAACGAAAAACCGAAACCCAGGGATCTTCAGGATGATAGTCATAACACTGACATCGTTGTCGTTAATTTATTAATACTGTCCTCCACCAGATACCAAAAAAGCAACTAAATTTTAAATCCACAGGCAAGCCTGGTGGAATAAAAGAGGACTTAACATAGATCTTGACTGTAGTAAAAATTCGACTGTCCTATAGGACAACCCGTTTTATTTCATGTATCTCCTAAAAAAATAGTCACTATATATGGTGCTCTGGCTTGTTTCAAATAATTACCTTTAAAAGTACACCAAAAAGACCTCTCTTATGCATGAAATGTTAAGAATGACGATTTCAATGAGGATTTCACCCACGCCAAACTCACTAGTATCTACAAAGGAGAACTTTAAAGAACCAAGGAGTTTCATCAGAAATTTAAGCATATGTCTGTAAAATGAGGATCATACTTTGTCAAGGGACCCTTATGCTCCCAAATGCTCTCACATGACCACGCGCATACGTCCATAGCCAGGGAAGTCTTACTCACTGCTTCTCTCATTGGGGTGTTGTTTACCGAATTGAGAGGATGAAAAGCGAATGTCCGGCACTTTAAATGGGTTGGTGGATACGGAGAGTCCACATAGGGGAGTTGGAAGACCGTCATTCTAAACCATTCGTGTACGTGAACTCCAGTATTCTGGAGGGACAAATGGCGTATGGACCAATTATTGGTCATCGGCTGCAATGGGACTGCATATCCTTACGATGTTCCACTGCCTGGTGGATCAGACTTTCAGGTCGAAGGCTCCGAGTGTGCCCCCCCCTAAGAAAACCACCTGCTTCGGTTTGAGCACCCGGGCAGTCCTCAGACATATCAAATGAGGTTTGTGTGGTGCATATTTATCTGGTGCCGCCTTGTACCAATATCTATGTGTTCAAATAAATAATAATAAATAGGGGACCTTTATGGTTTCGCTGTATTCTGAGACGATATGGATATGGACTAGAAAACACTTTCAAATAAAGAAGCTATAGAAGTCATGATAGAAATCAACTCGGTGAGTTTTTAAAGGAATGAAACAGGTATTTTACAAAATACAAACCTTTTCAACTCTGCAGTAGACTTAAGTGCTGCATTAAATGTTATGAAGATACATGAACTGGTTCAATGTTATATGGAATTTCTTTTGTCTAGAGCGTTGAAATGTGAAAACTATGAGGAAAGCTTCAGGTGTCTTTTGTCATATGTTCTAAAATCCTCTGTATTTGTCTGAATATACATGTTAGTCCGGCTGATAACGTGCTTTTGATTTCAGGTGGTTCAGTGTGTGAGTGATAAGACAATGGGCTGGGTATCTAGTACAATGAGTGATAAACATGTTCGTAATGGAATCACTTAGTCATTCTACCTGTAAAGTCACCTGCTCCATTGGTGTACTGGAAAGACCTAACTTCATTTAAAGCCTCTATTGACCTACAACCTCTTAAACACCTCAGGAATTCGCCTGTAACACTTATTTCGGTTTAGTCCAGACACAAACTTTAGGGCTAGTAGTCGTAAGTGAGTGTCTGAATAATGTGTTAATCTGGACTGTAGACTTACAGTTCAAATTTTATAAGAAACCAATCCTATCGGTTAAAGTGGTTCAAAAAATTACCAGGGAGTCTTAAAGGTAAATCGATATATCCGTAAAGACTTGTGATGGTTCGATTTATTACAAGCTTAGGTCTTAACCAGGAAATGTACATGGTTTATAGCTAGTAGAAATGAGAACTCGTTGAACACAAGAATCTATCCAGTCCACAGTCGCTTGGACCATATGATCTTCATCCCTTAAATGACACGTTAGAGATTACAGCGGTTACACATTTATATCTTGTTTTTACATGGTTACCGGACATGCCCACTCACCACAAGCGTTAACCATAAATGGCCTTGGTGACTTGCAAAATGCGCCAGGTCAGTATCATTGTTAATGACTTTATTCCATTTATATTTTTATCACAATATAAAATCTTCAGCATGAAGCGTTTCAACGAAGTCCGTTTACCAAAACAAAAGGAAAAAGACGGTGAGCATATATATATACATAGATTAAAATAAACATAAGTAAGCTACCTGGCCATAAATCAGTCTTCAGTAGTATGGATAGGAGGTCTGCCAGCCTATGTTAATCCTTGCAATCTGTAACACCGTGGTGGTCCAATCTTGCTTTAAATTCATGAGCGGAACGTGCTGAAATAGAGTATTTCGGAAGAGAATTACTGTAATTCATTACTCGGCGCGATAAACGGAACTCCAGACGTCAACAAATTTATCTCGGTTTTTGAACTTTCATAGGAAGTCCTCTCGGGTGATCATTTCTGGATGGAAGGGAAAGATAAGACATTATTACCATTGCCGCTGTTCAGTATACGATAAGCAGATATTAGATCGCCTCCTAAGCCGCAGTAAGATAGGTTGAGACGTCGCAGTCTGCCAACATAAGATAAGCCAAGAGGACTCTTGATCATTTTGGTCCCTCCCTGTTGAACCCGCTCTAGTATGTCTGCCTCGTACTTGAAACAAGCACTCGCTACTTGAACTCAATACTCCAAATGCGGTCTCATAAAAGTTGGGTTTAACACCCCAAACATTTCCTTGTTCATTTACTAAAAGGACTTACGAAAAGCCCATAAGACCCTGAAGCCTTTGGCAGAGGCAGCCTTGCAGTTACTCATAGTTTTGAGTTCTTTGCTTATTTATTTGCATCACCACGCCCTTGTTAGGATTAACTCTTAATGACCACCTACCCGTCCGTTCGACCAGAAAATTTAGGTCATCCTGTAATAGTATTTTGTATCATATACCGTTTATGGATCTCCGAATCTTTATGTCATCTTCAAAGGGCAGAAAAGATTACCTTTTTACAGTTGGAAAGTCACTTACGTAAAGTGAAAAAAAGAAGAAGACCGAAAATTGTGCCGTGATGCACCTTACCTTTTACAGAATTCCACGCTGATAAGGCTCCTTTCACCCGTATCCATTGTCTCTTATCATTGAGCAAAGTAAATTATTCGGTCTATAGTTTCTTAATGAATCCCAAAACTTTCCAGTTTTAACTTAAGACCCAGACAATGAAGTTAGATCTACGAAAACTACATCTATAGAAATATTTCTATCTTTCTTTGCAGCTCAGTCTTCTCTTAAAATGAGCAGGTCTGCCCAGTATGATAGGCCTCTTTAAAACCACGTCGTTCTCTGGATAAAAGGCCGTTCCCTTCCACGTAGTTTAAAATAGACGTCGTCCAGTAGTTTGGCGACCACACTGGATGGACTAATGGGTTGATAGTTACTAACTAAGTTCCTGCTTTCAGTCTTAAAGACTAGAGTGACTGTTGAGTCTTTCTAGTCTCTCAACAATTTAGACTGCATCAAAGACATATCAAACAGTGTTGACAGAGGTCTAGCAACTACATGCAACAGGGCTTTCATAATCAAAGAGTGAATATCGTCAGTACCATTGGAATTATCTGGTTTGAGATGTTGAATTAACCATAATCACAATAACCACAGAATCCATCAACAAGCTGCCGTTATCACGATTAGTTGTTGGTCCTTCACTATCACCGATGAAAAACATTAATCAAATATTCTGACAAAGCTTCAGCTTTGGCAACATCATTTCTTGCCGATATCAATGGATTTTCTCGTATCAAAAGTGGTGGGTCCGCCTCTTCACTACCCCTAACCAATTGTTTTTCATATGAATGTCTGGGTCTACTTATCAGTGCTTTGCAAGTGTTGCAATGAGTGCATTCGTATTGCTCAAAGCATGTTGAGATGGATGTATTCCAACGCTTTCTCCTGTATCTAGTAAGTTCATCGATCCGTCTAGTTAACCAATAGATACTTATTTGAACTACGTGATACTAAACATGGTACAAACGAGGGCGTGACTAAACTAAGAGTACTCCTAAATACAGATCATGCTACCTCAGTCGATGTGTCAGTATTTGCCAATCAGTCTGTTGTCGCAGCGTAATCCTGAATGGCTGGTATATCTGCACTCACCACGTTTGGGTGTAGAATATCAGAAGATCTAAAGGGAGAAATATATGAATGAAATGCATGATTAGTATCGGATAAGATAACATCTGCCAGAGCTTTTCAGTATCGCAGATGTCCATCCACAGCCATATCAATGATGACCTTAAAATATTCACCATACACTCTGCCAACTACCATCAGCTCTCTCTCCAATTCAGCAGTCTTTTTTCAAAAGCATGAAAACGAATTATAGATGACAGAAAAAATAATGGGTAATATGCAAGAATTAACAATTCATCAAGGTAAATGTCGAGTAATGCTAAAAACATGCAGTCTCTTTATATGGTAAGTCAAGTGGAAAACTTTCTTGGGTAACAATAAAACATGAGAGAACTGAAAGAGAAACTTACACCGAGATAAATGACTTTTGATGGTGTTTCTATTTGGGGAATCTAGAGTGGTACAATGTTTCTGTAATTCCAGCCTGGGTGTTTAGGTGCCACCCATATCTCAGGCCATGGTCGACAATTTGACATTTAGAAGGATTGATTTTAGCACCAAGACAACAGACCATCGTTTAATAAGAGATAAGAACTCATTCATTTCAAGAGGATGTGAAAAGGTATAATCCGGCATATATACAGTGAGATCGTTAGCGTAAGTAGCAAGTGTTTTTATGGAACGTCTCAGATCATGGAGAAAAGAGGGTAAAGAACAGCTCCTTTTGACACACCTTCACAAGTCGTCAGTGTCGTCGGACACTTTATCCTAATCACGGAGAGTGTTTTTGTTCTGGGAACGTAAGAACACTCCCATCTGGTTAACTAACTGTTAGTGTTGATGCGGGTAAGCTCGTTAAGTAGTAGTGGCTTGGGAACGGAGTTAAATGCTGAATCATAATCTAGAAATACATATCAAACATACCCCTTACCCTCTTACAAGCCTAGTGATCGGTTATAATGCAGGAAAAAGTAGCATCTAAGGTGTTTCTTTTGGACACGTAGGTGAAGTGATATGGATCAGTATGCTCTTTTATTACAGGTTGAAGTTAGAGTAGCAATAATTCCTCTGTAGAACTATGGTTTACTATGATATTAGTACTGCTCTAATAATAGACCTAATCCTAAAATTATAGACCTGTCATGATATAACTGCCTAATCTATAAGATCTTACGTGGAAGTTACATCATCGTCTACACCAACTAATTGCATCATAACAATTACCAATACATGATGGAGAACAAGCTTAGGCTAGAGATAGGACAAAATATTTAAAATGGTTAAAAGATATAAGATAACAGAGACCACGCCTGAATGGCCGAGCCATGCCATTCGATCAACAACAAATCATTCAATTCCTTGTTCGCTCCTTCTCCATTGTTAGGTATTTCTCCGCGTTAAATACTGAATATCTATTTTCTGAGTAGTCTCGTGTTCACAGCTTTGTGGATTGTGTGGTTATTGTCCAATGCCACTACACCTCCACCGTTCTAAGAAAAGTGAGGTTTTTGCTATGGGTATGAGTTTAACCTTCTCATTGCCAGACACTCTCCTAATTCTTGAGATTATTTTCACCTTTCTCCACATTTTCGGTATGAGATTAGCTGAGGACTTAGTGACTTTGTGATGAAAGGAAGCCACACTCGCGTGAACTTGAATTACTAAGTACAAATAATAATGAAACAGTGGGGGGAGTAACACCATACATATGTTTATATGTCCAATATATTCAATATCCTTATCAAGAGTTTGTTTCAGTACGTTTTCTAGTACTCGGTAGTACCCGATGAGCGGTAGTCTAGCCGCTCGATTGCACGAACTCTAGTCATTTTGGTGGGCACTTATGGTTCTGTGTATCATGTAGCCTGAGAACGTGTTTGTCTCAGGGCAGTAAGTTGTTTGATTACAATGTGAAAATAATGAAGCGATAACTCAAGTGCTAACGGACGGTGATTGTTTCAAGAATAAATCAATAATTTACTTAATTTTTAAGTTATGAGAAGATGGAATCGAAAAAGTCGAGGGGGGGGAACGGAAGTGATAATAAATGTGAGAGCAGGTATGATAACGGTAATGATAACCGTGGTAAATTATGTGACATGTATCAGACGCAGCTAGATGATAATCTATATGTGTTTGTTAAATCTCCCTTTGAATCTATCCACTAACGTGATTGTGGTCACACTGTTTGGTAGGTCATTCCAAATGATGGGAAAAAGTGAGAGCGCATTTAGGTATTCGCTCTCGGATGTGCAATCTTCTGAGGGTTGCCTTGAGGAGTGTGGTGATGATTTTCTGGTAATATGCTCGTTCTGGGGTGGCTTGTCCCACTGAATTTATTGTGTACCATTGTCGAAACACCCCTTATTCTCATGTTACTCGAGGAGAATAATCCTAGTCGTTGGAGTCGCCCTTCGTAAGATTTATGTTTTAGCCTTACCGCCCATTTGATTGCTGCTCTCTGTACTGAGTCTAAGGGATCTATACATCTTTTGAAGCGAGGGAGTTCAACGAAACGATGGACTTCAAGGTAGAGCCGAGCGTAAGTTTTCAGGAAGAGCTAGAAACGACTCTGTGGAGGTTGCTCAGAGTTATCTTCGCATAAGTTTGGTGGTTGCGTTTGCCTTGGCTGCATCTTCTATGTAGTTTGAGCTGATGTCTAGGCTCTCCATGGTTATGGGCTCAAGATCACGCTCTGAAGAGTCAATCAGAAGCGGATTTCTACGCAGGATGTAAGTGATTTATGTTAAATGAGTCATAATGTTCATAACATGACGTTTCGAAAAATGAAGTTTCGATTCATTATCGACAATTTATTCATTTACTGTTAGGCGTCCTTTATACTCTCAAGTGAGTCGTTTACCTTTTTGTGGACTTCTAGATATTAGCGCCATCTGCAAAGATCAGTGTCGTTAGGTTAACTTCATCTAACTGGTAAATAATATATATCGGGAACAGGAGTGAACTTATATTGTTCCTTGTGAAATTCCTGATAATGGGACCCACCCACCAAATGAATTTTATTTACCTTGGTACGAAAAACCCTGCCCGCTACGAAGTTTTGGATCCAGGAGTAACAGGCGTAAGTAAATTAAGTTCTACTCTATTAACAGACCCAATCATAAAGTTGTAGATTTGTAATTATGTAACTGCATAATCTATAAGATCTTACATGGAAGTGACATCATCGTCTACCATGATTCATCGCGTTGTAACAATCATCAATACATGATGAGAACACATTTAGGCTAAAGATAGAACAATATATTTAATAAAGTTGAAAAGCAGTTACATAGGTATGACCACACCTGCAAGGCCGAGCCATGCCATCCAATCAATATGAATTAATTGTTCCCGTTTTCTCCTTCGTTGGGTTTTTCTCTGCGTCAAATATCGAATATATATTTTTCCAGTTGTCTCGTATTCAGCCTTGAAGATTGTGTGGACAGGGCCCAATGGCACTACACTACTCTCTCATCATAATCAATGTGACATTGGTTCGATACCATGTTGAGTAGGATTGCCCTGCCCCCGAGGTTAACAAGAATAATAGGAACTCTCCGGGTATTGACAGGCTAAATGACAAATCAAAAAGGCGGCAGCAACTGATCGTGAAATACATGTAATAATTTTTAAATGTCTGTTTTAATGCTTAACACACTTAAAATGAAAATCCACATGAACATTATTTATACGTCAAATATGGCGGGACTATAACTATGAAGAACAATTTAGTATAGAGATATTTTAACAATTCACATCAAAATGCATAGTAACAACATTTGGTTAATGGCTGAAGTTGTAGGCCGTATAAGTAATTTCGAAATGTTTGGTCATATTCTTAACACGCCAAAAAATAGAAGTCTATGTGAAGGTTATATTGGAAATGAACCAAGTGGGATTATAAAAATTAAGAATGATTCCGTGCATAGATATGTAGTGTGGGGTCGAGTCGTTGTTGACTATGATCACCACTACAATAAGACTACGTGCTAGTTAACCGATAAGATCCCCAGTAATCCAAATATCAGAAGGTAGTTGATGGCTGTAGTCGCGATGTATTTGTTGACGATCTCGTGGTATCGAAAGAATACCGAGATCGTGCCAAAAAAGTACAAGTGTGGTTACTGAGCGTAACTGAACTCGTGCTAGGCCACAATCAACGGAAGAAAGTATATCTTTAGTACAGTTAAACAAACAAGTACAGTAAAACAATCACTTGTACAATTCGTTATGATAACAATCGTTTCCATTAAACCAATCGCGTTCTCTTGATAAAAGTAGGTCACTACAGGTATTCCTACAAATCGCCATAAGATGCGTACTAATAGCCGTATGTTAATAGCATTTCTTGTTTAGAAATATTAGAAACAATCAGTGTTGTAGGGATGTTAATACTGGTATTATTCTTGATTCAAATTATTAAGTCAAATAACGTTCATGCCGGCTAGCTGTCCATATGAGTTGATTTCCAATTACATCTGCATTAGTAAGCTAACTGGAAGAACAAAGGTATTGCCGTAGAGAAGAATTCCAACTAGTGTTCCAGTTAGTTTGATACGGTTTATTTAGTTACGGGGAGATTTTCTCAACCTCACTTTTACTTGACCGTGATAGAATTTAGTAATACTATTAACCCATATGAATGGTTATCAAAGAAATTTTTAATACGTGAAAAGTGATAATTCTGTGAATTTTGGACAGATAACTAAGAGGAATTCGTTAAACATGAGTGTATCCGTGAGAGACAGGCTCTAGACTCAATGTTCTGATCTGCCATAGACTATTTATTTATATTCATACCTTCTGACTGATGGTGCCTACAAGTTGGTTGCAAGTATTCAGTTTGGCATCAGGCGGAATACGACTTAATTGATATAGTGATTATAAGTTTTTGGAATCAATTAAGCTTATGTGCTGCAATTATAGGTGATGTGGTGTTGCAAGATATCTGAGGTTAAATAAGTCTTTACAAGATGATTAACAGTGAGTGATTCTCGTGTGATTATCAGGAAGAACATAAGTTGCAACTGAGGGGAGTACGCTCCCAACTCATATTTATGATAATGGCTTGAACTTTAGTCAGTGTTGGGTTAAATTCGACAGTTTTCAGGAGATTTGATCGACTGTTTATACTGATGGTTTGCATGCATGATTGTGTCGCTAAACTTCTAATTGGACTGACAAAGTTTTAAGATATTTATTGGATGAGCAACCGACAAACACTGTAATCATCTGTAGTTGATGAAGATAATATCTTTGGAACAGTATTGCATTTGTGGTAATTCTTGAAGCAGGTAATATTCATAACTCAGTCAGTGAAACGCAACGTAGAATATTAGTTTAATTTTGTTCGTCCTAACTTCTGTTCAATATGCATCTCCGAACGCGTCCGGTTTATGAATTAATTTTGGATGGGCTGAAGGAAAACCAAGTATTCTTTAGAAGAAAGAACTACAGAACACCGACAACCTTATGAAGAGCATCTATCTGAACGGTCCTCAAACTAAGAAGGCTATGGTAATAGACAATCTAGTTTTCAAGTCCCCTATTTGAAAGTTAGTATATTAAATCTATCAAATTGTGATGGGTACAGTGAAAACAAATACAAGAACCCTCCCCAATCTTCGATTCCTGACCAATATCCTACTATTTTCATGTATTCTTGTTTCCGTTCTTGCTGTGTTTACAAAGATAATTTAAGTGATATTCAAGCCCAGATTATGATGGGGGAATTATTTTATAAAAATGATGGATGGAAAGCAGAAGAATAATAACGAAATACTAATGAAAATTTCATCTCCAAAAGTTACGTACACCTTTTCTTATTTGTAAATGTAAGTGGAAACAAACGTTGAAGTACTTAATATTTTGGACGACATAATCCGTCTGCAAGTTGAGGTCTCCAGATTTTCAGCTCATGTAAATTAGTATAATGATAAACAAGACTTCTATCTTATAAGTGAAGACCTTCAGTAACATGCTATACTCAAACGCTTTCTCCTCTACGTGGTTCAATACCTGATGTTTTGGAGTGAAACTATCAGAGAAAATCTAATTTGGCAATTTCCTTATGTCCTCAATTAGACAAAATTGTGAAGTGAAAAAGATCAATGAGAGTTACCTGTTAGTTTAAATTTAGATGTTACACGTAGTTCTTATACGCCTTGACAAGGAATAGAGATCTACGTTAAAGCCGATAATTTCAATTTACAAAACTCTAATTCACTCTGTGGACTAATTTTCCTAGGAAATCTAACGACACTTGACATTTTAAACTAGTTCTCGAAGAACAGTTGAAAAATATGGTCCTTGTTATAGGCAATATAGATGAGAATCACATAATTATATTCAACAGTATTATTTTTATATCTGAATGCGTGTTTAAGAAAGGGCAGAATGATATCTAAACTACCCAAAGAAATTGCCAATTAGAATCTCTGAAATAAGCAATTGATTAAGAAAAAAAAACTTTGAGTTCATGTGTTGGCTTCTAGGTTTTCATGGTCAGTATTACAGATGAGGTTGGGGATTTGAGAGAGATGGCTTTGGTGTTAATGACTGTCAAGTCTGGCACCCACTGACAGTATATATATATATATTACAGGAAAGACTACGTTAAAGAATCAAGAACAATTTTATGGGCAGAACATGATGTCATTCAGGAACTATATAAACTGAGGGAAAGTACTAACAATAATCACCATCCCTATTTACACTTTATACACTCATCAACACTCTTTTATCGGTGTAATGCTGTACCTCGAAAATTAATGACATTTTAGTGACCTTTGATAGACATTAACTTCATACCCCTACAGCAATCGTATTAAAGAACATTATGACAGTATAATTAGACTACTTAATAAGATACGATACAAATTACACATAAAACTTCAACGAACCATTAAAATATGTAGTGATTTCTTCAGTGAAGATTTCTCTGACTTAGAAGCGTACGTATTACAAAATAGCATATTAAGAGAAAACCAGGACAACAAACATACCAGCAGAGAATAATATTGCTAATGGTTTAAAGCTATATAACAAATGCGTGACATCTGAGCTATATTAATTTGAGTACCTGAATAACAAGTTTGAGTATTCTAAGAAACTCAGGTAAAATGTTTCCAGTTTAGGGTACACAACTTACACTAAGCCAATGGCTTCACAGATTGCTGTCGTCGTTCAATTTGATGATTAAGGAAGTTGTAGCAGTCGAGAACGTACTTTGTCCGAATGACTTAAAATAACATGGACATTGTCTTCCCTTTAATTTTTAGGAGGGAATTCATAATTCCTTCATAGTTTGAAGCAGGTATTTATAAAAATACTTTTTTACTGACACAAATAAGCAATTTTTGAATACTTTAATAATAAATAGAAATGCGATTCAGAGCACATGTTTCAACCTTTTTACTAATTTGCCAGCTATGTACTAGTAAATCTGACGGTGAATTGAGCCTAATTTTCATGACATGAAATCGCAAAACATGATCAACCAAGCTGCGACACCCAAGCCCTTGTTCATAATATAGATTATTACGACCTGACCTTTGCTGACACTGACTCCGCCTGTAGCTCCTTTCGAGTTACTACCGATTCCAAGCCCGGGTAAACGAGAGGGGCTGAGCATGGGACTAGTGACCCCATCTCGTAGAAAACTAACTCGCCAAAAAAACGCTAACCAGAGTGCTGGCGGGCGGTCTATGCTCCTCCACGAGGAGTAACAGGAGTAAGTAAGTAAGTTTGCTGACAATGGACTACAAGACCGAATCTTTTTATCACATCACAGTAGAAAATTCAAGTTATATTAAGTAAAGTAAAAAATTATACAGATGAATATTAGGCTTTAGGAGACATTATATTTGTTGTTGTTATACTATCACCAGTAGATGTTTTGCTTTCATCGATTAGATTAGTAAATGTAGAACAATAACCAGAACTAGCATTTGTAGCTAAAAGTGAAGAAATACATTGATCAAATCGATATGCAGCTGATAATTTATCTGGTTGAATAGGTGTTCCCGGCTTATAAAATGGTGAACACACCAAAGCAATATAAGCGGTATGCAAACGCTGAAACATTGCTCGAACATCAACATCTCGAAGATGTGTTTGATGAACTGATACATTGGATTGGGTTGATTGAGAAGACAAAACATGTGACTCAAAAATCATGATAAACTATAAGAGAAAAAAAGTAAAATTGCAATTTAAATAAAAATTTGATTCTATAGTAAGGAATGGTCATGCATTTTTAACAACAGTAACAGTTTAACTTGCAATAAAGGATCTATTTATACATAAAGTACTGAATAAAGTGAGTAGTATTACTAGTTTAAAAGTGGAGCATACTCAAGTGAGAACCTGATCTGACAATTTCAAACTTAAGTCTTAAATTATCCAATGCTTTCTTCTAGAAAGACAAAGTATGATGTCAATCTGTGCAGAATAAATTCAGTTTAATCTACAGTTAGAATATGAATATGATTTTCGAGGCGTGTTTTGTTGATATCATCTAAAAACACAAGTAGAACTTTAAAATCGCCCCCATCTTGCTCAGTGAGTGAAACTCCTTTGAAATCTTATTTTTGAGCTAGAAATCATGCTCCGCAATGTAACCTGTGCTGGATGGCTTTGTTCAAACCATCCAGCGCAGAGAACGAAACTGCACCAAAATCATTCACCTGAGCTACAAATTTTCTACACCATTCACAGTGTACCTGACTAATGAAATCCCTTACATTCATTTTCAAAAGACAAACATTTAAATATTTTACTATGATGGGTATAGCCAATAAGATCAGAAAAAATACACTACAACTACATTATCCATAAACTCTAATATTCTCTTATGTAAAAGTAATTTAGATTTATAAATTGATGAAAACGAACATTCAAATCTAGCTCATGTATGAAAGTATTTCATCGATTCACTAGCAGGGTAATTAGAATACATATTTCTATGCCAATCTATATACATTCCTACCATCATGAATGTAAATTGCTGTAAAATTTGCTTTAAAAACTAACAGTTTATCCTTGATATTACATGGAAGGAATTTGAATAAAAACATAGAATATTTTTGCCACAAATATTATCTAAGCATATAACGGTACAACGTCGTGGATAAGATTTCACCAAAAGATTTGCAGATATGCATCCGTATGTAACTCCGCCTGTATCTCCTTTACAGTTACTGCCGATTCCAAGCCCGGGTAAACGAGGAGGGTTGAGCATGGGGTTAGCGACCCCATCCCGTAGAAAACTAAATCGCTAAGAAAACGCTAACCAGAGGTGCTGACGGGCGGTCTATGCTGCTCTACGAGGAGTAACAGGCGTAAGTACGCATCCATATATCTTAACTTTGTTCAAGGTACATGTAGAAAGTAAACAGAGCTGATAAACTAGTTGTACTTGTGCTGTGACTGATTTAGGGTACGTAGCAATCTCCACATTAATGTGACCATTTAAATAGTAGTTGAATGTTCGAGTTTTTAAACTATAGTTACTAAATTTATGTAATAGATTAAGAGAAAAAAATATCCTGAAACATTGCTTCAAGCATTCTAGATTAGTGACTAATGGTTAGTTCAAAGGTGAAATCACGTATTCCACTAACAAGTATTCTAGTCAAATATTGGCTTTTGAATTCATATAGAGTCCATGAAAGTATTGATGTTTGGCAAATATATCGTCCTAACGTTTCGCCTAAGAATTTGATAAGCTTTTCTAGAGAAACAAAAACAATTCAAAATAGACGGTCGGGTGGGCCCCAGTATCCTGAGGGAACAAATGGCGTATGAACCAATTATCGGTCATCGGCTACAATCGGAGTGCATCGCCTTGTGGATCAGAGCTTTATGTCAAATGCTCCGGGTGTGGCCCCCTAAGAAAATCACCTGCTTCGGTTTGGGTACCTGGTTAGTATCACAGCCCTCACACATAACAAATGATATTTGTGTGGCGCATATGTATCTAATGCCCCCTTGTACCTATATCTATGTGTCCAAATAAAATAAAGACATAATATCGGGCGGAATCCTAGGAGTATTTAATTTAAGCTTCCGAAAGCTTTAAAGATATAATTTGCTTTTTATATACTCGGCATGAAATTTTATTTGATATCCTAACGTTTATACAGACGATTTTGTTTATGAGAAACCCAACAATAATATTGCGATAGGTCTGAATAGATATAAAAACGTTAGGAAGCAGTTACATTCACTTAATATTTGTGAAAACTACTCTTAAAAAGTAAACAAATATACAATGATACTGAAATCTGTGATAACTCCGTCTTGCATATTACACGTACTTTGATCTTTGTATTAGTCACATAACCATAAATTCTGTGGTCCTCCATTGGATATAGGAGTCCCAGGTATTGTTCTAGTTGATCGTGATTACCACCAGAAGTTGTACGTTTGGATAATTTGTCTTCGATAACATCCAAAGCAGAATGTGCTTTAAAGTGGTAGAACAAAGGATCAGGACACTCGGCAGTTCTCAAGTAAAGCAATTGGTTAGTATCGGAAATTACTACCACACATGCAGCCATTTTCAACGTGTTTATGATTGAGATAAAGATTATTAAAGAAAATATATCATAAAAAAATTAGAACTCGTAGATTTTAGCCTTTACATAACATGAAGGTTCGATTATCTAGCCTGCAGAAACAAATAGTGGGTGCAAATAAGTGAAAGAAATTGTTAGTTTCAAAACCAAGAACATTGGTATAAATCACAAAAATAAATAATTATGTTGAAAAAGTCTTATGGCCAACATTTCACAAACAATAAACCACTTGCTGAATACAACATTCATACGATAAACCATGCGTATTCACATTGCACGAGCTAATACTTAGTGAGGTGTAGTAAAGACCTAACATAATTTAGAATGATTGGAATAAAATGTTGTATTTTACTCAATTCAATGGTGCATAAAGCAAAATTCAGTTACTACTCATTAGTTAGTGCATACTACCCAATGTGGTTATAGAGTTTACTACACTATGAAAAGAAAATCGGGAATGAACAAGGTTAAACTTTAATGGATTTTATTGCCACAGAGTGAAGATTGTCTTGTTTTTTTCAATTTTGACTATCAGTTGTACATAAACAATTTAGCGGAGGGTTAGATTTTATTAATTATATTCAAGTTACCAAACAATCAGCTCATTAAACTGCTTTGGGAAAGAAATGAACATTCTGAAATGCACCTTCATTGAAAAGAGATATTCAATATGATTTATTAAGAAAGACATGAAGGGGAAACAGCCGTCACAGACCAAATGTACATTGGCGAAGAAAATTACATAACATGAATCAAGAGTTTAAAAAGAATATCGTGCTATACCTAAAAATGTTTCTGGAGAACGAATAGAAAGATATTTGATGGAATAAATCTCCGTACAATATACTATGGTTGTCCATCTGTATGCTTCCTGTTATATGATAATCAAGAACGACTAACCAGTTTTATGTGCATAAACCAGTTCAACTGTTCCTATTTAGCTAAGTACCTAGTTCGTTTTCAAGGTAACTTGTTTATCGCATCTGAAAGCATCTACCAACATAGTCTAGGAAAGGAAAACATAGGTTACTTACATCTACTCTTCAACATGTAGCAGGTTCAGTCTAAAATGTGTCATTTGACATCATTTTCAGGATCCATTAAAAGCCTACGAGAGGTTCACGCTTTACCCTGATCTATGCTGCGGAAGCGTAAGTCATCTGTAAATCAAAGCTTTTACTTAAAAACATCTAAACTCTTTTCATTTTATTCGACTATTACTACAAAAATTGTTTTCACCCAGAATTCTTGGTCGATATTCATATTAAGTGACTTATATTTCGGTTAATGACGCATTCAGTTTAACTTAATTACGATAAATTTCCATAGTATCATAAATTCTATCTTCCATAATTATTTAGGAAGTCAGCTTATGATATATATAAGTAATATGTTCACCGAATGTAATCAAAGAACTGAACAATTACCATTGGATGTACCATAAGTTAGCAAAACTGAGGTTTACAAACAACAAATTAATATACTATCCACAATATTTTGAAACCAACGGGAAATTTACAGACCACAATGAAAATGATAGAAGACAGAGAATGAGAGAAAATCGAACACTGCTATCCGAAAATCCAATGAAAGGTTGAGTATTGCAGGTCGCAATCTCATAGCTTCTGCTTGCTTTATGTGTACTAGACAAAAATGAAATCGAAGATGGGTGGTGGCAAGCAGTGGAATCCAGGACGCACGTTTTGGTCTTATTTGGGGTTCGTCAGCTGGATATACCTGCATCCATCTTTGTTTAAAATGCTTATGACTTAAGGCAATATCGAGGCAGTCTCCACAGGATGCACAAATGCCAATGAGAGACTGGACGACTACAGTCCTAACCATCAATGGGAAGATTCAAACAAACTATACAAAATCAATTTAAAAATGAAGTCGGTTGATAACGTGTAATATTGGCCGGAATAGAAGTTGAAAGCAACCTAAGGGAGGTTAAACCGAGACGTAGCAATAATCCGTGACGTCACTGACTGTTGAACTGAGCTGCATTAATAGATCCAAACTAATTGGTTGGACTCTAAATGTCAGCCATGATCAGCGGTTGGAGATGCCGTGTGATGGACTTGTATAGTCCATGCAAAAAAAAACTAACCCCACGAGAAAAATGGAACATGGTGCCCATAATTTGGTCTTAGTATGCTGCATTTGCATCAAAGTCAAAAACAATTATGTTCTTTCTGATTGTGGTACGTCTTATAGAGTAGAAATAGTTTAACTGAATTTTCTGTAGCTGTTTATAGAATCAAATGGCACACTTATCGCTTTGTTGGAGAATTCATATCTTAATTCTGATTACTTTATCGGTGAAGCACAGTCTTGGCAATAAATGCTCTTTAAGATGTAGTTATAATTATGAAATATATTTGTTATTTTATCAACAGGTTTGTGACATATGACAATCCACAATACAATATCTCTGAGATGTAAAGAATTTATTGATAAAACTTCGTTAAGCATAAACAAAATTTACCATTAGCTTAAAGTGTAAAAGTGGGAAAAATTTTGTTCTATAACCCACTGAATACTGATTACTACTACAAACCGTTGAGTTTAATTGTTAAAATGCTTTGGGACTCTTATTTATTTATTTAACCAAATAAACATGGGCACAACAAAGCACAATACATAAGTGCTATACGAATTCGAATATGTATGGAAGCCAGATACTCATGAGCATGATTTCCTAGACCTGGTTCCGGACTTACCAAGGAGTATCAGAAGTGTCCTGAGTACATGTACAAATGTCCAACTAAAGTTCATCAGCAGTGGGGTTTACTACCACCTCGGATTGAAAACCAATTTGCTAGGATATGTTGAACGTCAGTTGTGTACTATTGATTTTGATAATTTAAGTTTGTATATTAATGTAGATGGACTTTTTATGTCTAAGATCTTAATAATTTTACAATTTGTTCGTATTACAGATGGTCATTTTAACGAGGTTAATGGAAAATTATCCTAAAACCTCAATGTGATGTGTTCCATTGTACCTCATGACACCTGAGGTTGCCAGTAATTTCACTCACTTGGTACTTTGTCAAAACGAGCACTTCAGAAATGTCGATCTTACGCCTGCATACGAAGTAACCTATATCTATTATTTAAACTTCAGGCGCATTGACCAATCGCTTTTAGTCATCATCTTTCAACGAAAAAGACTTTGCGAAACTGTACAATATCGCGACACAAGGTCATTTCCACGATGTCAGGGACAAATTAGTAAGGCGTAATCGAAGGAAACAAAAACAGGTATGTACTAATTTAAAGAGATAACTTCCCTACTGCTCTATAGTTACAGTCGACAGTGTCAACGAACATAACCGTAAGTGAAGCTTCAAGTATCTGGCTATGCTAAAGCATGTTATTCAGATATCGTTGTAACTTCTTTTGTTCTTTACACTTCAGAATTCACAAGATTTTTTCTCAGTAGACGAACAGGCATGGGTAAAAGAAGTAATCCGTGGAATGTTTTTTATTTTCAACTCAATTTTCAATAAACATTACTTTGGAAATGAGCTTACATTCTTAGTTACATGGGGAACCATTTAAGTGTTGAGAAAGTGTGTTTGATTTTCTATGAACTTGCAATTTAATAATCATGCACTATTAATAACACATTAGGTGCTTCTTCTTTTGTAGATGTTTTCAAATAACAATGAATTGACAATTGCCATGAAAATGGATAACGATTGATGCTCAAGCTTCTGTCATAATGTTGTATAACAATACGCTTTTCCTTTTCAATGAATTTACTTTAAACATGTACTATTTTTCCCGTGGATTGCAGTTTTAGTGTGGTTTGTTGTGGAAATAAAGGCGAACATAGGAGACCTTTGAGGTTATACCACTGTTGTTTTAAAAGTTGGAGCAAAAGTAGACAATTCGGTGTGTATTTAAGTGGAAAGTAGGCAATTGAGCGATATTTAAGAAACAGAACAACATAAAGAGGAAAATCAGTATCATTTCCCTGGACAAGCGAAAAAGCAGACATTTTGGTGCGTTTCCTTTTTATTTCTTCTTTGTTCGCCTTTATTTCCCCTTTGTTGGTTGATTGGGCAGAAAGCGCACACAATTGTGTGCGTTAACGTACTTACATTTAATAAGCAAAACTATGGGCATCAATTAGCGATAATGCAGTCCTGAGATAAAGATAATTTAGCTATCGGAACAGAATGTAGATAGCACGGTGTTTTGAACCCACTACAGCTTTCTAATTTTGCGCAATGAGAAACTCGACCAGTTGGAATTACGGTCGGAAGAAATCCCCCGGTGAGATGCGTACGAATTCCTAGCTCAATAAGCTTTCGACTGACTGCAACTGCTGAAAGAATAATATATCCAACCAATCAACAATTTTAAACGAACGATCGTCTCCATCTTACTGTATTGTTAATGTCACAGTTACGTAAGTTAGGAAACTGGCGCGTGGATTTTGTATAAATATTTAACATGCTATCATGTGGCCTCGAAGTTTTCTAAGGACGGATTTCTATAAAGTTATTTAGTATAACGTCTTCACCATATTTTAATCATCTTGCTGATCTAGTCAATCTGACTAAATAGTCAATATGGGACTATAAATTCAGTTGATAACTCAGGTCCAAACTCTATGATGAAAACATCAAATCTAAGCCCCTTGAGGTTGATTCTCACATTTTAGCTAAGTGTAACACTCAAACTAACTTGCTTGACCTTCTGTTTTTTCTTGCCTTGATATATTTCGGTCCATACTTAAAAGTTGTTTGTAGAAGCCTCATCAAATTCGCCATCAGTATCTATCTACTCAAGCATGTCGACACGTTACAACCAATTTGCAACAAAAGTCTTCATAAACCTACATCTACTCGGCTTCTTATGAGGATGAACGCTCATGTGAAAAATAAATTTGCTATTCTGCTATTGTTTGTGGTTAAATGGGTTTTTATACATGAATATATATATATATATTTCTGCATACTCAGGTACATGCCATTTTAACAGGCATGATCTACGAATTTCAGCGTTTGTTGGCGCACAGCATGCTTCCCGACTTATTAAGTTTATAGTTCTTATAAAGTAGACTCGTAGAGCGCTTGCTGTAAACAATGACCTTGAGGAAACGCGTACGTCAAGTTTGTTCCAGAATTTCCATAGCTCTGCCATCAGAGCAAGATTCTGGAGAAAAGAAGAGAAAAACGAGAGCAGCAAGGCACTTGAATATGAGCGCGAAACGTTGCTTAACATTTTGTAGTAGAAAAGACGGAGGTATAAATTAGATAAAATTAACATTATCTCTTGTTAGAGTAAAATGAAGTCAGAGGCTCCATATGAGCTTGTCTCTTCATGACCTCATGAGAGACTCAGTGGCTTGAATGTCGTCGGTTCTGAGTAATACAGAGTGGTCACCACATTATTTTTGCAGAGGACGAATAACTTGGGCGTCAGTGTTATTCCATGGGAAATAGAGTGAGTTCGTTCCGATTTTACATTACTGAATGATTACAGCAGTGCCGTGTTTTCGGAATCAATGGCAAACAAAGTTCAGATACTGAGCTGGGATTTTCTGTCGGAACTTACAATTAAGCAGTTATCAAAATTGGTGTGCGCAAATTTCAGACCTGTGAACACGCCATCAACCTTTGAAAGTTAGGGCGGCGTTTCTTGGACCAAAAGGCATAAGTTAATGTTCCCGTAACACGAAAAGAGTAAAGACAGACGTTTTGGAGGTGTTGTTCTCAGCGTCGAATCTTGGTTGTATGGCTCAACTGGGCCGATTTTCGAAAAAATGACTCTGGTGGCATGATATTTCCAAAATCTGTCATACTATAGAATTCGCTTTCAATCAGTCCCAACCTTTCGAAAGCTATCCAGTGCGCTTCAGAGAACACAGTCATGCCATCGTAATGTGATGTGTAATATTGTCGGTCCGACACGGTAGTTGCGATCATGTTGTAAGTATGGTCCATTCTATGTATAGTTTTGACGGCGCACAATCTTCAATCATAAAATGATACTCCTCAAGCAGATAGGTTAGTAAAACTGTCAAACAGTCACCGTTTTCTCAGGTCGATGAGCAGATAGTGGTGATGTGGCAGGTCTATGCCGATGATTGACAGTGATACATCTGCAACAACGAAAATCTCCTGAATGAGTTTACGTAAACCCACGTCAACGTAAACGTACATGTTACTGTAATTGACAGTCAGTTTTCCGTTTGTCACACGTGAACTGAAGACTAAACATTGTGGAAGACCGTTAGTATTCGCGATAGGGACACTAACATCAAAATTTTCGACGAGATGTCGTTAACACGTGTCTGAATGTTTGTCCCGATGTAAAATCTGAGGTCAGAGAAACTTCGGGATTTCCTACAGTTTCTAGAAGATTTACCGTAGGTGTTGCAGTGTTGGCATTAATCAAGTTATCTGTTCTTCGTGGTCCAGAAATCGATATCTTTTATAGTGAAATTGTTTGTGAAGTTTTGGATCATTTTGGCATCATGGTGAACACCAAGGAAACCAGTGACACAGTATAGGTATCTGGGATTTTGTTTTGTGTCGTTTGAGGTTTTTCCTCAATAGAACAAACTCTGGTACCGGGAGTTCCGGTGTTCTGTAGAAACCAATCAGCAATTGTAATGAATTCGTCTACGGAGTTAATTTATTGGTAGGGATGCACAGTATGGCGTACTTCATTGATGATCTAGTTAATATGCTTTACTGAGCGCCATCAGTTAGAGCGAATCCAGTAAAATCAATGAGGTCAAAATAAACGTCTAAGATTTATGAAACTATCTTGGGGTTTAATTCACTTGATATTAATTACTTGAATCTTCCCATTAGACTTCCAGAATTCAACCTCTTTTAGTGATTTATCATGACGCATAGACATAGGGGAATTGTCTGACTCAGAAAACATAATTTGCGGAACAAATACACTCTTTTTATCGAGAAGTGCCTTTTCAATCAATGGCATTGTGTTGGGTTCTTCCGGGAGGCTAATATAAACAGCTACCCTTCGCGAAGCGCAATATTCAGGAATACTTAAAAATAGAAAAATATTAGGCTAAAAATTGAGTTGAGATTTTATAAGATATAATTCATTGCACAAGCAAGTGGTTATCAGGACTCCGTGGCTAGGTGGATATTGCGATGGCGTTTGAAGCGAGTCCCAGAGTGAACATCAACTCTGAGATGCAGATACATCCAGCTGACGAGTCCCAAATAGGACGAAAGGCACGTCCTAGATTCCACTGTTGGCCACTACCCATCTTCGCTTATTTTTGGGTTTATTAAATTTAACAAAACAAAACAAGCTCTGTTCTTCAACCTCATTGAGGACTTGGGTTTATACGAAAATGTAAAGTCGGCAACTTGTTGGAGAAACGGTCAGACACCATCGCGCTTAAACTGTGTATTTACAAACGAAGAATTCCTAGTTGATAACCTCTTAATCTTGGCTCCCATGGGAAAAAGCGATCACGCCGTTATAACCTTTAGTTTCGTCAGCAAAACTGATCTAAGATATCCCACCAACAACTTGCGCTGGAATTTCAAACGGTTGAATGTGTCAGCTCTACAGGACTATCTGCAACATGTAGATTGAGATGTTCATCCTCAACTCGATGTGGATGCTCATTGGGACTTCTTACTGCACACGCTCATATGTGCTACAAATCATTCAGTTCCTCAAACGGTCCCCCATAGCTATCAGCTACCCACAATCATCAGGAACCACACTTCGCCTGCTAAGCCGCAAAAGGCACTGTTGGACTGAGTACAAACGAACTGACAACAACGGAGCGTACAGGCAATACAAACATATAAGGAATATATGCACGAAGGCTATAAGAGATGACAAGCCTCAGTACCAGACAAAGCTTATGGACAAATTTGTCTCTAATCAGAAAAGCTTATTCCGTTATGCAGCCTCTCTTCGTCAAGCTAAAACTGGAGTTTCCTAACTGCTAGGTCTAAACGGCCCGACCAACGACGATGGCGACGCCGCTAACGTTCTAGTGGGGTCCCCCAGGGTTCAGTACTGGGACCTTTTCTCTTCTTGATCTATATAAATTATCTTCCTCATCAGGTAACGTCAGACTTATTACTTTTTGCCGACGGCGTGAAACTTTGGAGAGAGATACGCAAACAAGACGATATACAGGCACTTCAGGAGGATCCGACTCGACCTCAAAGTTGGGCAGACGATAACGGACTTGCATTTAACACTTCATAGTGTAAAGTAGTCCATCTGCGACATGTCGCAGACTACAGTTATAACTTAGGAAACTCCTCTCTAGTAGTATCCCGAGTCGAAAAAGATTTACGAGTCCTGGTGCCTTTCGATTTAAAGTCTTATGCTCACTGTGACAAAAATGCCTTCCGAGCAAACCTTGCACTGGTAACATTGAAGCGCACTTTTGGCCAGCTCGATGGAAGAACTTTCCATATTATCTTCAATAGTTTTATTCGTCCCCATTTAGAGTACGGAAACATAGCATTTCCTCCCTCACTCCAAAAGGATAAGGACACCCTGGAGCGTATCCGACGGCGAGCCACGAAATCTGGATTCAAATTCAAACCTTATGAAGAGCACCTCCAATCACTTAACCTTTGCCCATTAGAGGATAGACGTCTTAGAGGTGACCTTCTGATGGCTTACAGTAGCCTTAACACTTCTGGACATCCTCTCAAACACCTACTTAAGCTTGGTTCCAACACTAACCTATGGGGTGACACCCAAAAACTGGAGACACAACAACTTCTACTCCTTAAGAGTTGTCAAATGCTGGAATTCGATGCCGGCCGAGCTAGTCTAAGAGACTTCCCAGAAGTCCTTTAAGAGGCAACTTGATCTATACTTAAGGACTAAGGATAGTATCACACTATGATTTACTATTTTCTTTTCCTCTTTTATTGTTAACATACCTAGGTTCCTTCCTAAAGGTTTTGGTGATCCCCTGATACTAGACACGGAAGCCTGTTAAACGAAAGCTTCTTCTATTCTGTCCACAACCATTTGAACCACAATTTGAACCATTTCGCCTCGGCCCTATTTCTCAGACGCTAATGATCTGCAATTTATAAAAGAGGAATTGCTGGACTATGATTTAATCCCTCGTTAGATTATGAGATCAGATGGTTCTAAGATTTAGGTCTTATCGCTTGTCGTGCGAAGGGTTGCTCATGGTGTTCACGAATATTGTGACTTACAAAATAATACCAAGAGAATGTACCATAGGTTTTCACTTTCGCTATTAATTTTCAGACATCGTCGCTGAATGTTAACTGATGAACAACTGTTATCATGTGCGAGCACCTGAACCTTGCGATCTTTATCAATAAGTTTATTTTGGTATCGACAGTCGATAGTGTTCTTCCATGACCCCCACTTCCAGCCACAGAACATATTAATTACGCCTAAAATACCAGACCTAGAAATGCAGCTTTTGTCATTT